TTTTTTTCTTCGCACACAATACTTAAACCTTGGGCCTTTTTCATTTATTATCTTCAATATTTCTACCTTTGTCAAGACAACAATTAAATAAAAACATTGCATGATATTACATTCTTACTGTTCAAACTATGTACTGAAAAAAAAAAGTCACATCATGAAAATAAGTCACCTCGTTCCCTTAATGAAAGAGAGAACATTTAGAGAAATATTTTCTAAGAAGCAATCAATTTCTCCAAGATTCTTAGTATCCAAGGAAGATGTGAAAAGAGAAGACAAGCCTACAAGTAGTACATTTGTATCAATATCATGCAAGTAAATAACTATGTTGTCTTGATTGTAAACCCCTAAATTTCATTTTACCACACCCTTACCTAAGCCCCGTTACAACCAATATTAAAGTCCCTTTGATTTTTGTATTCAGTTCATTTTTAAGTGGAGATATTTGATTCATTTGCAAGCCTATGGTAATAATATGCTAAGTTTTTTCTTTGAGAGTAAAGCACCCTAAAAATACTTTGAGAGAATTGAGTGAAACTCCGTGAGGGTGTCAAGTCTTTTGCATTTTAATTTTAACAAGTTAATGAGATACTTGAGTTTTTATAAATTATAACTTATCAATGCTTATTCACTTGATTGTCATTATGATTCATCTCATTAATGTGTGATTAAATTTACCGGTATTTTGGATATTGAGCAATATAAAAAGGAGTAGAGAGGGGAGTCAATATGTCGAATTAAGATATGCTCGAGGACGAGCATGAATTAGGTGTGGGGGAATTTAATAAGATGAAAAATATACCCATATTTTATATACTTATTTTACATTTTATTAATTTATTATGTTTAAATATTAGAATTTAATTAGAATTTATCATTTTGTGGTAGATTGAAGATATTCAAGAATAATAATTTTAACACGCAATTTTAGAGGATAATGCGGACTTCACCAAATTGGGAAGAGTTCAACGAATAAATACAGACACAATTATTATGGCGGGAAGCTTCAATTTGAGAATTATGAATTTTTAAAATATTTTGTAAATAAAGAGATATAATCAAAGTAGGAAACATAATCCTCAATTGATTAGGAACTCTTTTATTTAATTTGTTTTCTTTTAAAAAGGATATTTCCCAATTAGTTAGGAATTCCTTATTAGAGATAATTCCTCTTCAAAAGAGGATAAAGTTAATCTCTATAAATAGAGAAGTCTTATTCGGAGATCCATCATCCAAGTTCCAACGAAAAGCTCTCTTCTCCAAAATTCAGTTTTCTCCCTCTACCATGAGTGGCTAGGCTTTAATTCTTCCAACTCAAGGGTGATTCAAGTCCGATTGTAAGTTTGGGAGGCTCAAGTTAGATAGAGATTTCTTCTTTTTTCAAGTATTCTTTTCTTCTTGTTCTTATTATTTATTAACAGTTTATATTAATTAAATTGACGCCTTAATTCATATTAATTGTTCTACTGCTATCCATGAGTTTGTGATCCGTAATTGTCATGAATGATTGAAATAAGTAGCAAGGGGTTGGCTTATGTCTGTATTATGGCTTTCCATGTTTACATAACTGGTATAATAGACTCTAGGGAAACAAAGAGACAAAATTAATTAACTTGCAGCTATCTCAAATTAATTAATTTTGGTTTAGTCATTCTCATTATCATTAATGTCATTCTTTAATTAATATGGAACGCTATCGTGCCCAGTTGATTAATTAATAAGATTTAATTTTGATGCTTAGTCTAAATTAATTAAATTAGGATAATTAAAACTTACCACGGCTATTCCGAGTAAATAGACTAAGTTCTTGAATCAAGATACCAATTTTGTATAAAGCCTATGATCAAGATTACAATTGGATGAAAATCACACCTTTGGATTGGAAGTTTGGTGAGATTGACTTTCGCTTTCCTTTTAGTTTATCTTTTTAAATTTCAAAATTTAATTACAAAACCCCCCATTTTTTAACTTTGAGAAATTAATTTTATTGGTTCCCTTGGGATTTGACCTAGCCTTGCTACTTCTACAAGTTAAATTTAGTAAAATCAGTAATTATTTTGGAGGGCCTCGACAACCCTTACCACCAGTATATTATGCAAGTAAGACTTTAACGGGAGCACAATTAAACTACACCACTACTGAAAAGAATTGTTAGCAGTTGTGTTTGCTTTTGATAAGTTTAGGTCTTACTTGATAGGGACAAAAGTAATTGTTTATACTGATCATTCTGCTCTGAAGTATTTGTTTGCAAAGAAGGATGCAAAACCACGTTTGATACGATGGATTTTGCTACTTCAAGAGTTTGATATAGAAGGAAGGGACCGTAAAGGAACAGAGAACCAAATGGCCGACTACTTGTCTGGGCTCGAGTCCCAGTTCAGGAAGGTCAAGTAGAGATTCGAGAACAATTCGTTGATGAGCAATTTCTTCGCATTCAAAATATCCCTTGGTATGCTGACATTGCAAATTACTTGGTAAGTCGTATTATTCCTCATGAATTCAGTTGGCAGCAGGTAAAAAAGTTTCTTCATGATGTGAGATATTATATGTGGGATTAGCCTTTTTTGTATAAACTTGGTCCTAATGGAATCCTTCGCAGGTGTGTAGTGGAGGAGGAGCAAAAAGCAATTTTGGAGGCTTGTCATATGTCTCCATATGGAGGGCATTTCGCTAGACAAAAGACCGCAGCGAAGGTATTACAAAGTGGGTTCTTATGGCCCACTCTATTCACTGATGCGTATAGTTTCGCTCAGGTTTGTGATAAGTGTCAGAGGACAGGTAATATTTCTAAACTTAATGAGATGCCTCTAAACCCCATTCTGGAAGTTGAAATTTTTGATGTATGGGGTATTGATTTCATGGGCCCGCTCCCTCCTTCGTATGGTAAGAATTATATTTTACTAGCTGTTGATTACGTTCCCAAGTGGATAAAAGCTATTGCTACCCCTACGAATGATGCTAGGGTAGTTGTTCGATTTTTACAAGAGCATATCTTCACTCGTTATGGAGCCCCTCGATGTTTGATAAGTGATGAGGGGACTCATTTTTTTAATAGAGCGGTAAAACGTTTGTTGTCTAAGTATAATGTTCGTCACAAGATAGCCACAGCTTATCATCCCCAATCCAATGGGTTAGATGAGGTGTCTAATAGAGAAATAAAATCTATTTTAGAAAAAATGTCAATTTAAATAGAAAAGATTGGTCTTTAAAACTGGACGATTCTCTATGGGCATATAGGATAGCATACAAGACTCCTCTCAGCATGTCCCTATATAGGTTGATTTTTGGTAAAGCTTGTCATTTACCGTTAGAGTTAGAATATAAAGCTTTTTGGGGGACAAAAAGACTAAACTTTGATTTATTTTCTGCAGGAGAATCAAGGAAGCTTCAATTGATGGAACTTGAGGAGCATAAGAATTTTTCTTACGAAAATGCAAAGATTTTTAAAGAAAAAACTAAGCAATGGCATGATAAGAAGCTTATGCCTAAATCTTTTCAAGTAGGAGACTTAGTTTTACTTTTCAACTCTCGTTTAAAATTATTTCTGGGAAAACTAAATTCCAGGTGGTCTGGACCATTTAAAATTTCAAAAATTTTCCCTCACAGTGCCATTGAACTCGAAGATTTTAAAGGTAACATTTTTAAAGTTAATGGCCAACGTGTTAAAAAATATTTTGGARAAGAAATAGATAGAGGGAATGTCTCTATCCAACTTTCAGGAAGTTAAGAGTTTGAAAAAGAAATTTCCCTTCCTTGTTCAATTGAAAATTTCTTTTGAAGGGTTTTGTGTAAATTAGTTAGGAGTAGTTTTCCTTATTTTCTTTTCGAATTTTACTTGTTTTTAATTGTAGTCAGGTTATTTAGGCTGAGATTAAGGTGTTAACAAATTACTTGGGCGAAATTTTAGAAACTTCAGAATTTTTTTTAGGCTAGGCGCCTGGCGCCTTGGCCCGATCTAAAAATTAGAAAAATTGTGATTTTAATTTCGAGAGTTAGTTTTGACTTGGAATAAAGAAGGGTGCGATCATTTTTCGTTTTTAATCAAATTTAGGAGGTTTTAAAATAGAGAGTATATGTGTTTTGGGCTTTATTAAAAGATAAAAATAAAAAATAAAAAAAAGGTGGGATTTTGTGTTGTTTGAATCTTTGTTGGTCTGTTTTTCCAAATGGGTTTTTGTTTAATTAATCTAAAGTCTTAAACCCTAATTTTCTTTCAAAAAAAAAGAGAGATGGGACACATCATCTACCTTGAGACGTGGCCTTTGATCCATGAGGTCGGTTCTTGATTTGAGGGAAGTTTTATTCTTGTTCTTATGCTTGTTATACTATTTTTGAATTTAGTTGCTGATGGAACTCTTAGACATGCACAGCGGAAGCTAAGGATCATAATACATGAAGCAATTTAACTAAAATAAGCATGCTTGGAAAAAAGATGAAAAAGGTAAAGAGAAAAAGATTAACTTTATACCTTTGAAGACCTCCATTATAACTTCTTCTCCTAACTCAATGGGACCACCAACGACAAATTCGTGCTATCCTCGGGTTGTTGAACACGGTTGTGGGACCGAATTTTGAGTGAAAACCATGGGAAAACACTAATGGCTAGGAGAAGACAGTAGAAATTTGAGTGGAAAAATTATGCACTTATGCAAGTAAGCATTAGCTTTATCCAAGTGATCGTCATCACCTATATAAAAACCAAATGCATGCAAAAACATGTCTTGCATGCCTTCCACTTCAAACTCCATTAGCATGTAAAAGATAGGTGTCATTGCCTTGAAGAAACACTTCAAAAACCACTAGTTAGTGGGAAAATCCAACTTGATTTTTCCCACTAACTTGATTTTTTAAATAAAACTTTGATAAAACTAATTTTTATAAAAACAAAAATTGAAATATCAATTTTCTATTAAAACAAAAAACAAACCAAATCAATATCTCATATTAATTGGTCTTTGACACCTAAGCTTGATTAATCACATTAATCAAATTACAACTCTTTTTCATGCTTTGAACTTATTTAAAACTAATTTAAATAAGTCATGCTCTCCATAATAATTAAATGTCAATTAGATTATATATTATATCTCATATAAAATACAATATTCCCTTAAAAACCGAATTTGAACACTTCAAATTCTTGCTTCACTTAGTTCATCAATTTTATCCTTTATGAGCTAGCATGGAGACCCGTTGGACCTACAGATCATGGGCTCCAACGATTCGAGACTAACCGGTCAAACTCTTTAACTTGGGTTAATCAACATTTGTTAACTAACAGGACTGTCCACTATAGCCTGTAGATGCACTCCCCTCACTGTAGATATATTTGTGTCCATTCGATATAACCGTCATCGGTAAGTTGATCCTTCACAGGCCGTTCGTAACCTCAGCTAGGTAAAAAAAAAAAATCGTTTTACCCCTGAGTTACATCTTTTCTCCTTAAGTACCACTATCCCTCTAATGAACAATTGATTTAGGATCAAATCACTAAATCCAATTCCTCTCGGGCCAATGAGAGGATGGGGCCCCTTGTTCAAGACCTGGGATCAGCCCTTAAGGGAACAACCTCTCTACTATCCCTAAATCGGGTAGGAGTGAATTCCGTCTTGCTAATTCTATGTCTCCAGCTATCTATCCAGTCTTATCCCTGAAATGGGAGGCATATTGAGCAGCGCTGATGAGCTTACTCTCACCTATGCAGATCAAAGGAGAATCATAAATAAATAAGAGTTCATAGATGRCTCAGGATTTAGATCAAGTTATTTAGGTCATCGATAAACGAAATTAATCAATGTTATCCGTAAACGGTGTTAATACGTAACAGTGATTATTTCAGGGTCAGTCTTACACAATCTCATTGTGTAGAACACCCCCGCTCACATGTTTCTACACGAACGAATCAAGATCACTTCGTTTAAGACACCTTACAACATTTGTAACAATCATAAAGCGGGCCGTATTCAATAGTGTCTCTAGGAAAAAGTACCCAACTTGATCCATGTACAATAGACTGTTTAGGCTATTTACTTGAACTTGATCCAGTTTATGTCTCCACATAAAGTCCAAGTACTCATTGTAATAGCCAAGGGTTCGTAGTTTATTGGATTTATTAAAAAACAAATACACTTTCATTTAACAACATTTGTCTGAATAACCTCACATTAATGTTTACTGTTTACAAACTACGAGTTTTAGGACAGAGTACCCAACAGTTGCATGTTTAGGTTTTGGTAGGATAATATTGTGAGCTTTTCTAGTTGTTTCTAAGTTTCATTATGAAAATATGACCATTTAATTTCTTCTTGTTTCGATCATGATCTCGTTCTTGGCCTTAGTGAAGTATATTTCTTAAATAATGCATGCTACCAATTTAATCTCATYTAGCATATTGGTGTTCCTTTCCTTATTTTTCATGTCGATGATGATTCTTAAGGATTATATGAACTTTGTTTTGTTTTTGTTCGAAAAAGCCATGAGCCATTTGTGACCGAGTTCTTTTCAATAACATGTTTTCTTTGCTCTTCAAGAGACGCATCTGTTGCATCAGAACGGAAAGAAAACGGTCCGTTTTTCTTTCCGTAAATGCCATTCAAGAATTTTTTTTAAATAATTATTTTATTAATATACCTATTTTTTAGTATTTTAAGTTGAGATTTTATTATTTTATACTAATAAATAGGTCAATCAAATAATTTAATGGTTACTTTTTAAGATTTTTTTTTACAATAAAGATTTTATTATTTTATATTAATATAGCTATTTTGTATTTTAATTAGGTTAATAATTAACATCTTTGATAGTAAAATCTAAATTAAAATTTCATCACTTATCTAAATTTTTAAAATTTCTATTAAATATACTTCATAAATACAAACTTGTAAATTCATAAAAATAAATACATTGATTTAAAATAAGTCAGAGTTCTTTGTCATGTTTGGTAGTTTTARTTTTTGATAGTTTAATAGTGTGAATTTTTTGTTGTACATTTTTTTTAATAAATTTACTCTATGCATGATTTGGTAGATTTCTTAAAATTTTAAATGTTTTTGGAGAATTTATATTATATCCTCTAATGTCATAAATTTTATATTCTTTTTTTTATCGAAAATAAATTCACACTGTTAAAGATAAATATTTTTTATTTTACATATTTCAAAAGTTTGAATTTAGAGACTTTAGAAAATTTTAGAGGACTAGAATTATTGTCTCTTTAAAAGTTTGTAGCAGTTTATGAATTTTGATTAGTATATATTTAATGAGTTTAATCAATTAATAATTTTAAATATTCCAATTATATATAAAAGAATGTATATAATGATATATTATATATAGTTTATTTTAAATAAAGATTCAAAAATTAGACTATATTATTAGGAGAGAATTATCAAAGATAAATCTTAATTTTTGTCTATGAATTTTTAGGTCTGTTTTATTGTGATCAATGAAATTTCAAGATATGTATTTTCATTTTAACTATGTATTTATTTTTGTGAATTCCCAGGTTTGTATTTGTCAAGTATATTTAATAGAAAATTTAAAAATTTAGGTAATTTATGAAATTTTAATTTAGATTTTACTAGAAAAAGCATTATTTATTAAACTAATTAAAATACAAAAGAGCTATATTAATATAAAATAATAAAATCTTTTATTGTAAAAAAAAAATCTTAACAGTAACCATTAAATTATTTAATTGACCTATTTATTAATATAAAATAATAAAATCTCACCAAACCTAGTATAGCTAAAATGGTTAAGGCACCTATGGAGAGGAATCCTGACGTCGACATAACTTCGAAAATAAAAAGAGAGAAAACGAAACAAAAGTGAAGGAAGGAGACTGACCTAAAGCAAAGATTCTCGATCTGATGAGGTCGGACTCCAAGATTTCAGAAAGCTTAAAAAGTGGAGATCGAGATTTAAGGGTATTTATAGTATCCCGGAGATCGAACCTGAAACCTTCTGAGATGGAGCACCTGCCACTCCCTATTAATGATTGATTTGATATTTCTGGAAAAGTATGGTCAGATAAACCTATAAATATAGACAAAGTGTTTCTTAAATTTTAATTTTAATAAATTCTTAACTTTTTCAACCATTTTTAAAATTCATGATAAAATAATAGATTAAGACTTGCTAGATCTATTAAACACAAACTTGATAAATCTGTTAAAATTATCTGTTAAAATTTAAATTTTCGAAACACGTATTCACCACCTTTTAAAATTCAAAGATGTATTGAACAAAATCTTGAAACTTCAGAGTACTAAGGTTATAATTTTTCTCTTATCTTGCACATCATTATTCTTTTATAATTTATTTTATTTTTGCATTTCTCTTCAATTATGTTAAAGAAGAAGTTGCTCCTACCTTTGAGCCAAATTTCTTTCAAAAGCAACTCCAAATATAGCCAAAATAGCTTTAATGAAAGCAGCCTTCTCAAAACACACTAAGTAGGAGAGAGACAGAAAGACAAACAAAAGTGAGAGTTGAGTTATTATGCGTTGGTCTTTAGAGAATGATGTTCGCGGCAAAACGACCACGTACGCCCACACCTCCCTTAGCACTTAGCAGTAGAAAAGACCAAATCCCACACTTCAAACTGCCACACATCTGACTTCTCATTTGCATTTACATGGCTCTCCTCACTCCTTCCACGTTTCCTACATGCACCATTCCACCATTTCCTACAAATACCAACCACCTTCAAGCTTCAATTCCCCACTTCCCCATTTGCAACCAAAAAGAAATAACAATGGCCAGGCTCTCTAGCATCATTGCCCTCTTCGCAGTTGCGCTACTGATTGCAGATGCCTACGCCTACCCCTACCGCACCACCATCACCACCGTGGAGGTGGACGAGGACAACCAAGGGCGACAGGAGAGGTGCCGCCACATCAGGCCCCACGAGCAACTCCGCAGCTGCCAGGAATTCCTGGGGCAGCMAGGCGGTGGCAGAAGAGAAATTTTGGAGAACCAATGGGGTAGAGAGGAGGGCTTGGAAGAGTGCTGCCGACAGTTGAAGAATGTGGAGGAACACTGTAGGTGCGATGCGCTGCAGGAGGTTGCTCGTGACGTACAGAGCCAGCAACATGGCCAACAAGGAAGCCAGATTCTACAGCATGCAAGGATGTTGCCATCCATGTGCCAAATCCACCCACAGAGATGTGCCTTCTAAGTGACCTTTGCTTTAATTTCCTAGCCTACGCACTACAAACATGCACATTCTACTGTGCTTTTTGTCGTATGTTTTAATAAATAAATAACAGTTTTTGTGTGTGAAACTTTGCTTTAGAAATGTGAGCGCCCTTCAAAAATAATACATCAAAAACGCAAGAGCAGATGAGATGAATCATTATCTATAATTATGTTCTACAACAGAAAGACTCATAGGAATACAAGCAAACGGTATATACACAAATATAAAGCGATTGATAAAGGAAATGTTACATAGCTAAACATTAAAAATCATAAGCAGATCACACGAGTCTCAGAGATTTTAAGAATAGAGATTATTGTACGGAGATGAGGAAATCTAAAAGGTACCACAGTTTAGATACTAATTTTGAAGACCACCACGAAGACGCAGCAGTACCAAATGCGAAGTCGACTCTTTTTGAATATTATAGTCGGCCAAAGTCCTGCCGTCTTCCAGTTGCTTTCCAGCGAAAATCAGCCTCTGCTGGTCTGGTGGGATGCCCTCTTTATCTTGAATTTTAGCCTTCACGTTGTCGATGGTATCCGAACTCTCAACCTCCAGAGTGATTGTTTTTCCCGTTAAGGTCTTCACAAAAATCTGCATTCCACCGCGAAGACGGAGCACTAGATGAAGAGTTGACTCCTTTTGAATGTTGTAATCGGCAAGAGTCCGTCCATCTTCAAGCTGCTTGCCTGCGAAAATTAGCCTTTGCTGGTCTGGAGGGATACCTTCCTTGTCTTGAATCTTAGCTTTGACATTGTCAATTGTGTCGGAGCTTTCAACCTCCAATGTGATAGTCTTTCCCGTGAGCGTTTTGACGAAAATTTGCATTCCCCCACGAAGACGAAGCACCAAATGCAATGTTGATTCCTTCTGAATATTGTAGTCAGCCAGAGTGCGGCCATCTTCGAGTTGTTTACCCGCGAAAATCAGCCTCTGCTGGTCCGGTGGAATACCCTCTTTATCTTGGATCTTGGCCTTCACATTGTCGATGGTATCAGAGCTTTCCACCTCCAAGGTGATGGTTTTTCCAGTGAGGGTTTTCACGAAGATTTGCATCCCACCGCGTAAACGGAGCACCAAGTGGAGCGTGGACTCTTTTTGTATGTTGTAATCGGCCAGGGTTCGGCCGTCTTCGAGCTGCTTTCCAGCGAAGATTAGCCTCTGCTGGTCCGGTGGAATTCCTTCCTTGTCCTGAATTTTGGCCTTTACATTGTCAATAGTATCAGAACTTTCAACCTCAAGGGTAATTGTTTTGCCGGTGAGAGTTTTCACAAATATCTGCATCTGTCAGAATCAATCAAATAAAATCTTAGCAAACCAACGGGATGTAAATCCTGTAATCAAGAGCATGATACTCTGATAAAAAGATTACCCGGAACCAAAATATCTACTCAAATTATCATAAACAGAGCAGCAAAACACACGGAATGGAATCACAAAATTTGTAAATCTAAAAAAAAAAATCAAGAAGAAAGATAATAAGATGGTCTCATCGCAGAATGAGGATTATGAAACCAAATGAATCAAAGCAAAACAAATCATGTTGGAATCATGTACACATCATTCATCCAAAAAGTAGAAAGAAAATGCTCAATTCTAGCGAGCAGCACCGATTTATCACACTCTAGAGTAACAATCAAGAATCGCCATTACAAACTACATATCATAACGCTCAAAGTAAACTAAAAAATCAATTAATCGAACAGGAATTCAAAATCCAGACTACCAAGAGAGGAATCAAACTAAAACCAAAAACAAGAGATCATATGGAAAACCTTGAAGACGGCTGAAGAGCGGCTTTCGAGATTAAGATTAATCGCGCTGAGAAAACGTTTCGATTTTTCGAATCTGAATAATGAAAACTAGGGCTCGAGAACTACCGTATTTATACCTGCAATTGCCGACTTAGTATAGATTGTAACTCCCTATAGRAAGCGGACACGTGTCAGTTCTTACATTACTTGCTTGTCACGTCTGGAATGGTTACTAGAAGTTTCTGGTCACGACGGTGGATTTTCCATGTATACGCGCAATTGAAAGCTTCGGGACGAAGGCTGGGGATTCCGTTAGGTGACGTGAATGTTAACTTCACGCCGTTCCGTTTCTTTAGTTTTTCCTATTAATAATTTTATAACAAAATTGGTCTAAAAAAATAATTTTATAACAAAATAGGAAATTGCTAAAAAGTAGTCCCCTTTTCTAATTTACTAATTTATTTACTATTTTAAATGGATGATAACAATCTCAATGGCTTACGGGGTATTTTCTAAATTTTGTTTAGTACACCATATTGGGAAGATGATTCAACTTACAATCTTTTAGTGTTGAGTTATGCTCGCTTTGACCTAAAATTATCTTTTATTTATGCCAACTTTTTAAGAAGTTTGAATTCAATACTACGCGGAAGTGGGGATTTGAATTTCAACTTTTTGATGAATAATATATATTTTAATCTATTGAACTAATTGATACGATAATATTGTATTTCTTTCTTTAGATTTGTTTAAATTTAGATTAAGTTCAACTCATAGATTAATATTCTATTTGTTGAAGTTGATTTCAAAGATGATTGGTAAGGATGAACTTTGACTCGAACACAAAACCTATGGTAAGTGATACCGCAAGGCTTTATATTTTCTTCTTTGTTTACCTTCCGAACAATCATCCTGTTTGTTAAGATTTATGACAATAAGAAGACAAAATCTCACTAATATTATTGTAATGGCATAGAAGCTCCAGCAAGGTGCTACCTATCTTCATTTAACATTCAACTTTTCTATTTTGGGTTGACATGTTGTCAATACCCAAATATATTTAAGAGGAAAGGTCTTTCGTCATATTAGATTCGTCATATCAGTAACGGTATTCCACATATGATTTGTGTTTTCAAATTTTACATATTTGAATTTGGAGATTTTAAAATTTTTATTAATATCAAGATTGTGCTCAATTATTACTTTATTTGAATCGGATTTGTGACTTTTTTTAAATAATTAGATTTTATTTTTATTAATTTTTTTTCCATATTTGGATTCTTTGTAATTAATATAATACATTCAAAATTTAAAAACAAAAATCTCTCTCTTTTCCCAACCAAAAAAAAATCCCATATTTTTTCTCTAATCAAAATATATATTAAAATCTTTCCACTCGTAAACAAAAAATTGTTCAGTTTGAAATTATCAGACCTCGTTGGAATATTGAAGGGTTTTTGGGATTTTTGACCCCTTCCAATAATCATTTTGGATTTTTGACCCTTTTTGATATTTACTTATTCATGACCCCTCTATTTTCTGACCTTTCCCCTTATTTTGCTTGGTAAAATTATCAAGTTACCCTCAATTTAAAAAAAGAAATAAAACCCAGCCCTCCCCTCTCTTCCCTCCCTGGCTCGATCCTTCCCCTCCCTCATTCACTATCTCGTTGTCCATCACAGTCTTCATCTCGCTATCTCCCTCACTTCGCGCTTCATCTCCGTCGTTTCTCTTCTCGTCTCCCTCGCTTCGTCTCTATCAGAGCTTTCCYCMTTCCCTAATCGAGGTAATTTTTCTTTCAAGTGTGAATGATTTTCTACTTTTTTTCCTTCGTTCTTTGCGTGGGTGTGAAAGACTTCAACCTTCGGCTCTATCTGAAGTAGCCAAGGTTCTTTGCGTGTTGCTTCCATTAATTTTTTTTTTATTGAAGGGTTCCATCTCGGCTTTAAGCCTGATGCGTTTAGGACCGAGATGAAACCATAACCCCTTTTTTTTGCTGAAGAGTTCCATCTCGTCTCGGTCCGTTTCGAACCGGGATGATGACCGAGATGGAATCCAGAAAGGTCATCCATCTGGAATGGACTTTCTGGGTTCCATCTCGGGACTCATATTGGTTCGAAATGGACCGGGACAAGACCGAGATGGTATCCAAAAAGTCTTTCTGGATTCCATCTTCCATCTCGTGCCTCGTCTCAGTCCATTTCGAATCGCTTTCTGGGTTCCATCTCGGGACACATCTCGGTTCATTTCGAACCGGGATGAGGCCCGAGATGGATTCCAGAAAGTCCATCCTTCTGGGATTTCCTTTCTGGATTTCATCCCAGGCTTCAACCCGGTCCATTTCTAAGTTGGAAGAAGCCCGATATGGAATCGACAACATATTTAACCAGTTTTGTTTTGTTTTGTTACAGGAGACATGAATATGACACTTAAGATCRACCGAGACGACTGGTTTCCGGCCGCGCTGTCAAACCTCACTCACGTAGGGAAAACCTCTTCTCGTCTTAAGGCTAGGTTAACTCCCTCTCAGTTAAACATGTTTAGTCGAACATGTTTTGGTCCGATTTTAGGGATGAACGTCGTATTTAACGGTTCGTTGCTCCATCACATATTGCTTAGAGAGGAGGAGGAACCTAGAGAGGACCTCATTAGTTTTAACCTATTCGGGAATAGGGTCTCTTTTAGGAAGCGGGAGTTCAACCTAATAACCGGTCTTAGACACACCATGAATAGGGTAGATGAGGATGTTCGTAACCGAAGACTTAGGATTTTGTATTTTGAAGACAAGGCGAGTGTGAAGTGTTCGGAGTTTGAGAAAAATTTTTTGAGAACACACATTCAAAAATGACGAGGACGCTGTGAAGGTTGCTATAATGTACTTCATAGAGCTTGCCATGATGGGCAAGGAAAGGAAGCAGAAAATGGGCACGAGCCTCCTTGGGATTGTGGATCGGTGGGAAGTTTCCTGTAATTATGACTGGAGTTCAATGATCTTTGAAAGAACTCTCTGGAGCTTGAAGAACGCTCTGAAGGACAAGGTCGAGGCGTACAAACAGAAGGTCGCTATGGACTCCAGCCATGTTGAGACGTATACCTTGTATGGGTTTCCATATGCTTTTCAGGTTAGTGAAATTTAAATGTAATTTATTATGTAGTTATGTACCTGTGAAATACTGTAGGGTCTAACTTACGTGACTGCAGGTTTGGGCATACGACAATATCAACCTTGTCGACTCGAGTAGCATTGAGGCTAAATGACGATGCTATTCCTCATCTACTTAGATGGTCCTGCACCTATTCGCGTGCTTTTAATGTTTTGGAGCGAGAGGTCTTCGAGAATCCCAAGGTGAGTCCCAAAATGTTCTTATTGTTTTTAGTATTTAATATTAAAATTGACCTAACTATTTGTGTTATACAGT